CAGAGACCCCCACATGCCTCAGGAAACAATGGTCTCCACTGATCTGGGGCACAAATGTCTGAAGCTCGCAAACACTGAACAACCCTGGGCTGTGACTGATGACAGAAATAGATTTGTGGCCTGAAAAGTGAGGCCAAAGCACAAGTGCCTCAAACTTGCATTCAGGGTAACCAGATCATAATGTGATCTTCTTTTACTACCAGCCAAAATGCAGCATAAAATGTTGGGACTGCCCAGAATGACACAAAAGAACAGATGTACAACAAAATGTTTGTGCCTCCAAGAAAGAAGAAAACAAAAAGCCAACGGGACGTTTAGTTGTATGATGAATGCTCTGCCTGATATCACGACACCAGAGAGGAAGTAGCATGCAAACAAACAGCCGTCTGTCCCGGTTCACTGTGCAGGCTACACGCATCCAATGTCGTGTCCTACCAAAACTTATTAGATCCGTGACAGACGGGGCCTTGCAGTCACACTGTGGCATCTGAAAGCAGGCTGCATTCCAACAATTCAGTTATCTTGGATTTATGTGCACATCTTTCAGAGTTCAGTTCAAAGTTCAAATTTCTTCTGGGAGGAATCCATGACACTCAAAATGAAACTTGGTGAATGTGAAACATTAAACTGATCTCTGCCTGAATGACGGAATTCCCTTACTGTATCTCCCGATCTGAAAATATCTTTGCAGCTATTTCTCATGTGGGAGTTCATGCAAACGTTCCAGCAGATACTCTACCGACTGTTTTCACAGCAAATAAAATAAATCCAGGGTTAAATACCTTTGCAGGATACTCATCTATGATCTTCACCAGATCCTGGCATCGCTGCAGGAGAGGTTTGGTGGTAGCATCGGCTTTCAGGTTGGCCTGAAACAACATCACATGTCACAACATATTCATGACCAGAGAGGAGTTATTACCTTTAAATGACTTCATAACTAAGTCAGGTCAGAGATGCAGGACTCTGAGACTCACCAGCAGGAAACTGGGCTGCTGTAACGTTGGATTAGCCATTAAGGACTCCGATGTTTCTTTCTACAACTGTACAGTCCACCTGGATCCCGCTGCAGTGGCAATAACACAAACTTTAATCAGAAGTCTAACTTTAACAGTTTTAACACGTTTAACGGGGAAACTTTTGTTGGCTTATCACTAAAAGAAGTGGATGCTAACCGTACTGTTAAAGAGACTGCAGTGTCTGCCATTGAAGGAATCCTCAGCAGGAGGACAATCCATCAAAAGCAGCAATCAAGTTAGCACGAGCGGGCTAGCAAAGGCTGCTAATAGAGCTAGCACAGACAGCTAATAGTAGCTTAAACTAAGAGTAATGGTCGTTAAATCGGTTTTTAATTAAATACAACACACGTCACAATCACACAACATATTCTCCGCTTTCAAATCAGCACCGTCTCACCTTTTCTCGCGATTATTTTTCAAAACTACAGCCACTTCCCCAGAAACCGCGTTCCCATCAGTGCAGTTCAAATACGACTACACTGGTTCTCCTCTTCTTCGTTGGTGTTTTACTTCACTCCAGATGGTTGATGATCGTATTGTCGTACATTACTGCCACCTGCTGGAATTATTGATGCACTGCAGTGTCAATTTCTCCCTCAGAGACGGAACATTTCCGTCCCTTCTGCGCATGTCTGAGGTAAATCCGGCCAACAACAATCTATTTTATTCTTCTTTTAATAATAATAATAAAAAAACCAATACTCGACTATTGTTCATGTACTTTAAAAAAAAAATGTTTTTTTTCTTTGTCTGACTTTCTTTTACTTAAATTCTACAAAACGTTTTTATTTACGTGTTTTCACTTTAAAATATAAATCTTTTATTTAACATGTTACTTGTAGTTTCACTTGAACTACAGAGGCAGTCTAGGCGAAAATCTAATATTTAAAATAATACCTCGGTATTTATCCAGCTGTAATCTTTATTTTGTTAATATATGGTATGGTTACAAGTAAATTCAAGTAAATGACCACTATAATCACCTAATAAGCCTATATCATGCCAAACAATTACTTAAAATCTATGAATTACCTACAGCCTTGCTGCATGTCTCAGCACAGCCTCGATTGACATTCCAGGACAGGGTCCACTGCAGGAGAGCTGAACGGTGCCAGTAGGGCTACAAAACGACCTCCAGCAGGGCACGCATGTGCATCATTCTGCTCAAACTATCAGAATGAGACTCCAAGAAGAGGACACGAGGGCGCGATGTGTGGAGACCTGTGCTTAGAGCCCAGCACCGTGCAGCTCAACCAGAATTCAGCCAAAAACTCCAGAACAAAAAAAATAAAATGCACAAATGTTTCTCTTTGTTTTATTTTCACTGAGTTATCATTTGTGGCTTATTCACATACAGTAAAGACGATGACATTACACGGTCTCGAAGCTTATTAGAGCTGTGAAGTAAAAAAGTTTGAAATTTGCTTATGAGGAAAACACAGGTTTATATAAACTTACAAAATGCAGTAAATTCTACAGGATACAGAAAGGAAACTAGAAAAATAGAGTTCTTTAATATACATGGACGTAAAGAGCTATACATAATGTTTCAAGCGAGGTCCATTTCATGTGTGCGTTTCCATCGAGGCCTTTAATCCGTCAGGTACGTGTGAAGCTTACGT